TAACATCCTAAACAAGTCACAACTAAAAAAGGAAAACGAATCCCACTTTAAAAGGGTAATTAAATAGAACTGGTCACTAATCCTAATCCCACTAGGATTCGGATTCCACTGGCAGAATCAATTGGCTCGAGACGATCTTGAGGCTTATCATTCGAGCACTTTTAGGGGTCTAACTCTTCAACCGATTCCTCGTCATTGTAAAAGAAGTCGTGTACTTTCATGGATGCCAACCCTCGAGTCTCGACTCTCCTTCCATCACCCCAACTGAAGCTCCAAAGATGTCTCCTCGAACTCTCTCCAACACTTAGAATATTCTGACATTTCTTCCGGTGTTGAGTCAGCAACTTGGTTGACCTGGAAATCACTCTTTTGGGCCTCCTCTTAAACTCCAAAGCACATCAATGGCAAGATAAACCCTTCCTCTTCAAAACAAGACCTTAAACGCGAATTTTCATTAAACCAATAAAAGTTCTCGAAGTGCAAACATGGTACCTTGAAGCTGGAAAAGGACTTAACCAAATTTCAGGGTTCTTTCCCATGGCTGAGTTTCCTTTTTGGACATTCAACCCTAACCTGTGTACTGACCCAATTGAGATAATATCATGGGGATTTTTCCAATAATAGCACGTTTAAAAAAAATTACAAAACTAGCACCCAGCCAAAAAAAATTACACTAATAGCACCATTAGTGCACATTTGATGGAGGTTGACACGCTAAAACACAACACCTAACAATGGCCAAGTGTAACCAATGAAAGGGACTGCAGTATAGGCAAGTTTAATTATCAACCCGGGGTCTAGATCTACTGCTTACTCCGTGATTCTCTATTATCTAGCAAACTAAGTCGAGTGATTGTTGTGAAATGTAAAAGCAACAAGAAAGCAGTAATTTGTTCGGGTTTCTAAAGCAGGTAAGAGTCACTCGGGATTGAGTCCCCCTAGCCCCTTAGTTAGGTTCAATTGCAATTCCCTGGGTTGATTTACTGTTGATTAGACTGCGGAAGATCCGACAGTAGCTTGGAATCTCTTAAGCTGACCAAGCCCTCTCAGTCTAACTACCCGGCAGACGACTAGTCTTCACCGGGATAGAAAGCTGAGGCTATGAACACAGAACTCCACTACTGGCGTCAAGAACACCAGTACAAAGTAGTAAACTGGCTAACTCTCGTATAGCCAACCTCCTACTATCGAATGAAGAGGCTCTAACAACCTAATCAGATTCTATCTATCTCAGGTTGCAGCAGAAATTGAGAAAAGCTGATCAGACTCAAATCAATTCAATAAACATGCATCATTCGATTAAAATCAAACAGTAATATCATCCCAAGTCATTACAATCAAATCCTTAACACAAGGAACTAGGGTTCTTCATACCCAAGTGAGAGAAAGGTTCTACTCCATAGAGAGAGAAGAGAAAACAGAAATCAGAGTAGTCATACTCATAAAGATGAGGAAAATCTGCTCTGGGATGTCAATCTTCACTCCTAGGGACGCAATCCGGGCTTCAATGATGAGAAATCCACTCCAAGATAGCTCCTAGGGTTTGTTCTTCGCTCTTTCTCTCTCTAAAACTCTGTTTTTGCCCAGAAAATCGAATTCTACTTCCTTGGCTCGAATCTGCCTCCAAAAACCCGACTCTGGGCGAATTACGGGCAGGATTACGGCCGTAATCACTTCCTGCCCGTAATTCACACCAAAACGCACGTTTCACTTAAGCTGCAGGAGGAGGAGATACGCCCGTAATTTCCCAATTACCGCCAGTAATTTTGGAATTACGGCCGTAATTCTTGGGGTCTTGCCCGTAATTTTATCACCGCGAGGGAATTCTGGGTAGAAGGCTCGACCAATAAATTACGGGCATGCCCTGGCCAATTACGGCCGTAATTTGGCAGGGGCTGCCCGTAATTCTGTCTCCGCTCCTGTTCAAAGCTTCGTTTCTCCCTCGTCCGGACTCCAAATCAGTCGCCGTTTGAACCCAGACGCTCGTAGTCTCGTCCTCTTTCTTTTCATGACAAGCTTGCATGATTCTTTGTCCATAAAGTGAGGTAGAAATCCATTCTTCTTCAGGTCATACCCGAGTTTCTTCTCCCGAATCGTCAATTGATCTCTGATTGACTTGAAACTTGCGCCTATGCTTCACTTTATGTGCTAGGACCTGAAATGTGACAAAGGAACACAACCTAGCGTAAAATAGGCCAAGGAACAATCAATTCGAGCCAAAATGGGCAGGAAACCAGAGTGAAAACACGTGCAAATACGATGCTATCAGAGGTCTTCAAGCAGCGGTCTGGTAGCGACCTTTATTTTCTGAAAATTGCCACCACCGTAGGTGACCCCCTTTCCGGTCTCTTCCGAGTAACCATTCCACCGTAAGCCAAGCGTGAACTTTTGGAATGCCATCTGCAAAAAAACCGTAGTTCAGTTAATATCATAAAAATCAAAAATAAAAAATAACAATAAAAAGTAATACAAAATAAACTTACGAGTTAACGTTAATCGCAAAACTACTAAAGAAATATAGAGATACAACAGAAAATTGAAAAGGGAAAAGAGAGGTGTGAAGAGAAGTGGTTTTCCGGGAAGTCTTTTATAGGCAAAATCACTGATGAAAACCGCACCTTAGAGGTGCGGTTTTCGTCTGCCATGCAGACCCACGTCTGTTATTCTGCATGGCATGTCGGAAAATAATTTTGACAAAACCGCAACTTGGGGGTGCGGTTTGTGTGGCAAAACCGCACCTTGGAGATGCGGTTTTGCCGGCCAAAACCGCACCTCGGCCATGCGGTTTCTGTAGGTCAGACCTGAAACCGCATTGCCAAGATGCGGTTTTGGCCCAGGTTAATAAACCGCACCTTAGAGGTGCGGTTTATATATAAAACGCACCTTGGAGGTGCGGTCCATAAAAAAGGGTGCTATTTTAGTAAATATTTTCGGCTAGGTGCTATTTTTGTAATTTTTTTAAAAGGTGCTATTTCTAGAAAAATCCCAATATCATGCCAAGTATGTCAAGGTGGTCCAGGGGCAGATGGTGTTGAAATCTACGGCTAGGAGCTCTACCATTTGGCGCAGAATTAGAAAAGCATGGCCAATGATGACAGAAGGTATGAAGATGTGCATTAAAGACGGCCGGACCACATCCTTTTGGCTCGACCGTTGGGTGGACAGTGGTGAAAGACTATTTGACCATGTCCTTGAGGGGAACACACCGCCCACCTTTCACGCCTCGGTGGCAGAGCTCACCACGGCTGCAGGTGAGTGGGATACTGAGATGCTCAGGCGGTTTTTACCAAAAAAAATATGGCTTTGCATGTACAGGGAATCCAGCCACCTAAAGCAGGTTCGGGGGAGGACGTGGCTACCTGGGGACCAGAGGAAAACGGGCAATTCCGAGTTCGGTCGACCTACGACTTGGTGGCCAGCCATGAACATCATGCGCTCGAGTTTGACTGGCGAACAATCTGGACGTGGAGAGGGCCAGCGCCTGTACAAAACTTCCTTTGGTTTGCAGCGAGGGACCGACTCATGACAAATGCGGAGAGAGAGCGCTGCCACCTGACAGCCAAGACAGTGTGCACCCAGTGCTATTCTCATCTCGAAACGATCTTGCATGTGTTGCGAGACTATCAATTTGCCAGGTTAACTTGGATGCGATTGCTCCAACCTTCTGAACACCAACTGTTTTTTTGGATCCCATATGCAGGATTAGCTAGCTCACTACCTCAAGCAAAAGCAGTTTAGCCTGCTTTTTGGCCTCATTTGCTGGTCCCTGTGGAGGACTAGAAATGACCGTGTTTTCGCAAACAAGGTCATTACAGTTGAAGGCTTTCTTCAGCGCGTCCATGCTTGGTTAACTGTCGTGAGGACGACATTGGACTAGGACATGCAAATCCATAAACCTGATCCGCCCACAAGAACGGAGGAGGAGATCTCCTGGAAGTCGCCTCCTCCCTAGTGGGTCACTCTCAACTCAGACGACTCAATTTTTTAGGATACATGCCTTGTTGCTGCAGGAGGCTTGATCCGAGATCATCTTGGACGCTGTTTTGCAACGTTCGCTTTGAACCTGGGTATGTGTTCGATTACCCGGGCAGAGTTGAGAGGCGCTGTTGAAGGTCTACAACTGGCTTGGTACATGGGCTATAGACGTGTCCGCATGGAGCTCGATTCGAGGTGTGCAATTTAGTTAATACGGGGTGTTGACAACCCGGATATTAGCATGCACCGGTCATCGACCGACTTCAGATCCTTCTTCAGAGAGACTGGGAGGTTGCAGCCTACCATGTGTACAGAGAGGGGAATAAGAGCACAAATTTTCTTGCCTCTCGAGGCCATCAGTTGCCTGTTGGTTTTCATTTTGTACCTGTTACTGATCCTGATTTGAGGTTATGGCTCTTGTATGATACTTTAGGGATTTCCGAATCCCGGCTGGTTTTGAATGAAGGTTAGGGTGCTTTGCATCCATATATATAAAGAAATACACAGTTTTTTATGAGAATCTTTCGAATGAAATATACAGTTCAATTCTTTGTAAATGGCAACTAACTAATCACTTCAACCGGGTTTTGGGTTTGTTAAAATTGGGCAGGGTTTACGGATAAAAATTAATTCAATCTATCCAGTTCGATTTAACCCAAAATCAGACTAAATCTAACACATTTTATGACTCAGAGAGCATGGTTGTCATGTTGGTGACATGCCGCTCGGTTGAATCTGGTTCAACCATTGTTGGTTATGAAACTAGAATAATATCATTGGTATGAATAGGGGTGGGATTCGGTCGGTAAACAATTTACTGTTTACTGAATTTACCGTTTACCGGTTTCGGTATACCGAAGTTGGCCAAATTGGTTACCGATTACCAATACCGGTTTGTAACCGGTTTACCGATTACCGAATTACCGATAAACGGTTACAAACCGGTATTACCGAAATACCGTGAGGACGGCAGGGCAGGGGAACCAATTCGGCAATTATGCAATTCTTACCTCCAGGCTCCAGGCGAGGACGCCGCCGCAATGGCGAGGAACCTCATCTGCCAGGACACCTCCGCCGTGGCGAACCTCAAGCTGGCCTCAATCTTCGTCATCTTCCTCAAAAGCACGGTCGAAATCGTCGGCCCCGTCCTCCTCGCGCAGCTCTTCCGCGGGAAGTCGCTTTACGACAAGGCCGTCCTCGTAATCAAGTGCTTCGCGGCGCGTCATCCTCTCCACGTCCTTGGTCCACGTCCTCCCCGACGCCTACGCTTCCCTCGTCGATTGCGCCGTCTCGTCGCGGCATCCGTGGAAGTACTTCCCGTTCGCGGGGCTCGTGACGCTGATCGGCGGCCTCCTCGCTCTCTTCGTCGACATCACCGCCACCGAGCACGTCGGCCACAGCTATGGAGGAGCAGGGAGAACACGAGTACGAGCCTGTCACCGGCAAATTGGGGAAGCAATCGAGGGGGCTGCTGAGGATGGAATTGGGGGAGGAGGAGGAGGATGAACGAGGGGAAGAGGGAGGAGGAGGAGGAATTGATGGCGAAGGCGAAGCAGAGATTGGTGTCTCAGGTGCTGGAGATCGGGATAATTAGGGAGGGGGATTTCGGTATTGGTATTACCGATTTACCGTCGGTATTTACCGATACCGTGTTCGGTAAACCGACTCCCCCAACTTCCCGCTCGACTGCCGATACTGCCGGTAAACCGTTTACCGGATTACCGTTTACCACCCCTAGGTATGACTGGCATGCTCGATTTACGAACTCTAAGTAAAATGACTTCGTTTGAGTAAATTTTATTGATAAATTATATTTTATGAATATAAAAGTTAATAGTTGATGTAATTTGTTGATTCAGGTATAAACATTTAGGTATTGACGTTGAATATTGTATTTAAATATTAATATTTGTTATTTTATTTGGAATCTTGTATTTTATTAAGCCGACATGAATTGACACAAACCGGTTACAATACCGATGATACAATTTTACTTATTAAACCAATACCGTATAAATCGGTTTGACAACTTAAGAGCAGTGTACTTCAGTACTTGTAGGGGTGTTAGTCGGTGCGGTTTCGGTTTAACCGCACCGAAACATCAGTTAACCGCAACCAAAATTGTCCCAATATCACTAACTGAAATCGAAACCGACAGAGACTTCGGTTAACCGAAACCGCAGGTTCTGGTTCACTTTCTCGGTTTTCGTTCAGAAACCGACCACCCAAAACCGAATTTCAACCACCTTTTTTAATTATTCACCCTCAATTTTGAGTGACCTGCTTTTGTTTCAGCCTCTATAATCACACACCATAAAGTCATATAAATCAATTGAACATAAAGCCTAAAGCAACCACACAATTCGACCACAACTCCACAACATAAAGTCTACATGCCCACAATTCAACCACAAGTCACAATCACAACAAGACACAAATAACAAGTTCATTATCTCCAAATCATCAACCTAAATGATCCGAGGATCTCGCTCAAATTCATCTAGCTCATAGTCATCATTTACTCCAAGATCTTTATCTAGCCCATAGTCATCAACCTAAGGTTCACTCTATCGAGTGCAAAGGGGATTTAGAGAGGGGTGACTTTCGAGTTCTAACTCTTAAAAACATTTGAGACTCTTGATGGAGGGTTGTTTGCAATAGGTGAGAATTGGGATGTTTGGAATTGCAACTTTGATTGGTTTTGAATCTTACAACTTTTTCTCTTAGCCAAAGTAAAAAACCATGTAGTCACACTAGTAGGCGGTTATCGGTTAACCGCTAACCGATTAATCGTTTAGCGGTTAACCACTAACCAAAATACTACTAACCGAAACAGAAATCAATAAGGAAGTAGCGGTTATCGGTTCACCGCTAACTGACTTTATCGGTTCGGTTATCGGTTAAAACGATAACCGACTAACCGTTTATCACCCCTAAGTACTTGTATTGCAGAATGCAGCTTAGTTGTTGCAAACATCTCGGCTAAGAGCAAAAAGGCCACACCGGCGGAAGGTTAAAAAATAGGCAAAATACACTTTCATAGCCAAATCTATTCGCGTTGTGACAAATATAGCCAGTTTTTGAAAAATACACTCGTATAGCCACTTTAAAAAACTTGCTTGACAACTTTAGCCATTTCCGTTATAAACTTTAACACCGTTAACTCTTCAATGATGTGGATGTACACGTCATCAAATGTATGCCATGTGTCAGCCACCTCAGTTTAAATTATTATTTTAAATAATTTTCTTAATTATTTTTTCACCACTATTCTAATCAAAATGAAAAATCATTTAATTTTTTTCTCCCAATTCTCCTTTCCCCTTCCCCATGGAGAGAGCAGAGATTCAGATCTAATTTTTCTCCCAATTCTTTCTTTTCTTCTTCCCCGAGCCGCCGATCTCGTCGTTGTCGGCTTCATCCTCTGTTTGTCATTGGGTTGGAGGAGAAATCAGGGGAAATCATCTTCCCCTTCATCTTCTTCCTCACGCCAGAAACAGAGGAAATCATCTTCTTCTAGCCATTCACACATCAAAGCAGAGACAAGTTCATAAACCCCAATTTTGAATCAACCAAGAACCAGCACTGAGATTTGGGAGAATCTCCCAAACCACAAATACGATTTCTGAATTCTCTCCTCAATCTTTGTCATCCTAAACCCTAGAAATTTCCCCCCAAAATATGCATCCCAATTCGCGCCAGGTTCTCCTCAAAACCCCGAATTCTCGCCGCCTCCAAACCCTAACCTTCGATCCATCCCAGCCCCAAATCCCCCGCTCCCTGAAGCTCTCTCTGATCCCCGACCATGGAAACCCCGACGCTTTCTACTTCACCGCCAACGGGAAGCTCCTCTCCGACGACTCGATCCCCATCGGAGGCCTTGCGATTCTGGGTTCGCCGACCTCGCCTCGCTTTTCTGGAATCATCCGACGGGTGCGACGAAGGATGATAGCGACGATTTCCCGGCTGAGACGACGGATTAGGGTTTGCGCCGTCGTCGGGGTGTGGTCTTCGACAGATTCGTCGATTGGGAGAGATGGGGGAGCTGTGTTTGACGAGAGAAGAGGAAGGGTAAAGTTAGATTTAGGGTTTTAGGGTTTTACTTTTTTTAGGGTTTGACGAGAGAAGAGGAAACTCGATTAATTGGTAAAGTTAGATTTAGGGTTTTACTTTTTTTAATAATAAAATAAGGGTTAATTGCACGGTTGGTCACTGAAATTACAAAAAACGTTCATGTTTGGTCACTCAAAATATTTAAATCCATTGGTGGTCCTTCAGTTTACTCAAACCGTTCACGTTTGGTCACTCTCCGTCCAACTCCGTTAACTTTGACTGATGTGGCAGTCAACTCTCAAAGTTGACCGTTAACTTAGTGACGTGGCAACTAAAAAATTATTAAAAAATAAAAAAATAAAAATTTATATTTTCCACCTCACTATTACATCCATTAAAAAATAAAAAATAGAAAAAATCTAATTTCTTTTTCTACAAACCCCATACCCTACCCACGTTGAACGGACTCCCGCCTCTCGTCGGACTCCTCATCGCGAACATTCCGACCACCGGCGTCCACACCGGTGACACCTCCCCTCCGAAATCCTTCTGGTCTTCTGGAACATCCCGAACCCGAATTTGTTCCTCTGTCGCGCCCCCACCGCCTCCACTGCCGCCGCTTCTCCGGGAAAGCCTCTAGCTTCTCTCTAGCGAATGACCCCACCTTTTCCGCCTTTTCCCCCTTCTTCCTCGTGATGAATTGCAGTCTGCTTTGTATTCCTTCCTTCCTCTAAGTCTATATCCTCCTCTCGCTTCTGATTGTTCTTCCTACTGCTACCGTTCACGTTTTGGGAGTTGGTTTCCAAATCGACGAGCAGGGTATTGGGGACGGGGAGGAATTTCTGGGCTTCCTCTAACCCTTTGTTGAGCTGGAGAACGGAGTCTTCATTGGTGAACATATTCTTCATCATTTCGTCGAAAGAAGGAGCCGCCGCCGGCGGCTGCTGCCAATCGTAGGCCAGAGGAACAACTGAGGTTCTCCTCGAATCTCCGAAAGTAGTAGCCAGAGCGTTCCACTGGGGATCGACGAATTCAGTGGAGCCAGCAAATCCAGCGTAATCGCTGACGGAGAGGTTGGGGATGTCGTCCTGCCGCCGACGCGGCCCCTTTCCCTTTCCGATGAGTAGTTGTCCCGTTGTGGATCTCCGCCGTAGGATTGGGCTTCTTGGCAAGGCAGCGGGCGGAGTGACCTCCCTTGTAGGGGGCGAGGGTGGCGGTGGAATCGTCGGTGGTGGAAGAGTAGTGGTGGTGATGGTGGTTTTTTTCTAGCGGAGGAGCTGCAACTCATCAAGCAACTGAAAAATCAATCATTTTTCAGATAATCATCAAGAAAATTAGATTGTTTCCTACGTTTGGTTTTCCAAGTGCAGAGTCCCGAAATCAAACCATTTCAGCATATTACAATCCCAGTTTCAACTATAGTTCAACGTTGGGTTTGTAGAAAAAGAAATTAGATTTTTTATATTTTTTATTTTTTAATGAATGTAATAGTGAGGTGGAAAATATAAATTTTTATTTTTTTATTTTTTAATAATTTTTTAGTTGCCACGTCACTAAGTTAACGGTCAACTTTGAGAGTTGACTGCCACATCAGTCAAAGTTAACGGAGTTGGACGGAGAGTGACCAAACGTGAACGGTTTGAGTAAACTGAAGGACCACCAATGGATTTAAATATTTTGAGTGACCAAACATGAACGTTTTTTGTAATTTCAGTGACCAACCGTGCAATTAACCCAATAAAATAATATACAATTTACACCTGTCCTGCCACGTAGATTAACAGCGTCCATGTTGCAAGCGTCCATTAGTCCAGTCAGCAGTCGTCAAATTCCCGTTAAAGTTTTGGACGGAATGGCTATACGAGTGTATTTTTCAAAAACTGGCTATATTTGTCACAACGCGAATAGATTTGGCTATGAAAGTGTATTTTGCCTAAAAAATATGTCACCTTAACTCCGGCCGGTCGGCAACTGTAACTTCCTAGTCATTCTCTCCCCTGCGAAATCCCCGTCTCTCTAATAACTCAACATCCATCGATGGCGAAACCCGACGAGTTCAAGCCGGACCCGCCGTCGGAAAACCCTAAAACTGAAGTCGACGACGAGAATGGCGACGACGTATACGAAGAAGAAGAAACAGAAGAGCACGAGCTCGACGAGGAAGAAGACGACGAACCCGAACCCCAACTGCGTGGGCGGATTCCTCAATCAGCTGTCCTAATGCAACAGGCGAAGCTGCAGGGCCTCTTCCAGCGGTTGCAGACGCAGAGCGTGCCACTTCGAGTCCACGATGTGCTGATTAAGGGGAACACGAAGACTAAAGATTACCTGATCGAATCGGAGGCGGCGCTGTTTAAGAACTGCACTACTATGCAGCAGATTCTCGAGGTCTCCAGAGCTGTGAATTTCCGGCTGCAAGCGCTGGAGATATTCGATTCAGTCAAGATCACGCTCGATTCTGGCCCTCCGGAGCTCCCTGGGACGTCGAACGTCATCGTGGAGGTTCAGGAGGCTAAAAGCCCTCTTTCTGGTGAGATTGGGGCTTATACGAAGGCCGAGGTATTGTCTGTTACAAATTGTGTTTTCATATTTATATGTGATGGTTTAATTGATTGAGGAATTGAATAAGGAAACTCGGTGTCATATGGCATTGCCTCTCTCTGTACAGATTAGTGTGAAGTGTTCCTTTTGAAAAACCTGAACTTGCTGAGATTGATTTAACTCAATGAACTGCGGCTAAGAGCGATACAGGGAAGTTAGGATTAGTATGCATAGGTGAATTTGATAGTTATGGAATGTGGATTGAAAAATGTGGGATTCCAGCTTAGGACAACCGGAATGAAGGAGAGAAGAATGAATTCGTGATCCTTGCAAATTAGCTGATGCTTGATATTGATTGCCCTTGCTCTCAGATCTTCATACGATTTGTACTGGTGTTAAGGATAAGATGGAATGCTTGTTTGTGATTCGTGAAACGTGTCAAAGGACTTAACTTACCAGACCATCACCCTCGCTTCTGATGAATCAATACACATGGTTCTGTAGTTGCCTTACTACAGATGCGAGTACCTTTGAGAAAGTCATCACGTGTATCAGGTACAGCTGCTCATAGGGCTGCCCATTTTGTGGCATAACAAGCCCTTTCATCGGAAGTTCGACTATTTGTCGACTACTGCACGGTGTTATTTTCTGTTCTTTGACTCTGTATTGGTTAGGGATTTGCCTGACTACTGTCTATGTTAAAAAAAAAAGTTGTTCATTCAGATTGTTGGATTTGAAGTAAACCATAAATGATGAATGATGCCTGCTTCTTGGGTTTGCAATCCTTCCACTTGCACTGAACTAATTTTTTGTCAATTCTATCTCGATTTTGTTACCGACTTTTCAGGCAAGATCTTCGACTGTTGAAGGAACACTAAAGTTCAAAAACATATTTGGTCATGGGGATCTTTGGGATGGCTCTTTTGCTTATGGTTGGGACAATTTGGCAGAGCTAAGTGCTGGTGTGCATTTCCCAAGATTCAGAGGAGCTTCATTTCCACTGGATGTCCGTGCATTCCTGCTATCCCAAGACTGGCTGCAGTTCTCTTCATTCAAAGAGAGGTCAATGGGCCTTTCTGTGGCCTTGCTCTCCTCTAGGAATCATGACTTGGTCTACAATCTCGGATGGCGTACCTTGACAGATCCCTCACAGTTGGCATCCAGGTCAGTGAGGATGCAGCTTGGTCACAGTTTACTCTCATCTTTGAAATATACTTTCAAGGTTGACAGGAGAAATTCACCTTTGCGACCAGTTCGAGGATATGCTTTTGCTGCTACCTCCCAAATTGCTGGCCTTGCACCGGATAGTCGGTGCTCACGTTTCCTACGTCAGGTGCACGATTCCCTTTCAACTATGAACTGTGACTGCCTTGTTAACTATGTACGCTGTAACTTGTGTGAATCCATAGTTTCTTTCTTAGCTGTTTCTTTCTGGAGCTTTGTTGCACAAACTACATTCCTTGAGCCACAGATTGCTGTGATTAATCCTTATTTCACTGGACTTTATATTTCTGAGTTTGCAAGAGTTGCTCTTTTCTTCCTTCCCGGCAGTATAACACTTACTTTGTGGTTGCTTTTTCTTATCTGCTACTGTATAATAGTTGGATTCGTGGTGCGTCTCTTGTTTTTTCTTTGAGAGTGTGCATCTCTTGTCAATAATGAGTGGGTGTTTTCCCCTAGTCAATTAGTCAGTATTTTCCATGTGAGTTATTTGTTATCTAATGGTGAAATGGTTGTTCAGAAATGAATTTATTTTATTTGCGTATATAATTTGGATTATCAGTTATTTCATCCAAAAACTTTTGGCCACTCTGCTTGCTGCATGAGTTGATCGCTAGTCTATACGATGATTCATACTCCCGCTTAGCTGTTATGCCTCGGAGTCATCTTTAATAACTCAAAATGTACTTCATACAGGAGGTTGATCTTCGTTATGCCATCCCGCTTGGAATTCTGAATTCTGCTCTCAACTTAGGGATCTCTGGCGGCATTGTCTTCCCGTGGGGAACTGGTTTCAAAAACTTGCCATCACCTCTTCCTGATAGGTTCTTCTTAGGTGGTAATTCATCTCCAATTAGCAGTCTGGGGGGCCCAACAACAGTTTGGGGATATCGAACCAGGGGACTTGGCCCTACAGAGCCTCGAAGGCAACTGAAAAGCAATGGTGGTGATGAGGATGCTGCTGATCCCGGGGCCGATTTTCTTGGCGGAGATCTTGCTGTTACTGCTTTTGCTGATCTTTCTCTCGACTTCCCACTGAGATGGTTCAGAGACAGAGGAATCCATGGCCACATATTTGCATCCGCTGGAAGTCTCGAGAGATTAACACAAAACGCATACAAAGATTTCTCCTTGCAGAAGTTTGTGTCTTCATTCCGAACCTCCGTTGGTGCTGGGATTGTTGTTCCAATCCAGCCATTCCGCCTTGAGGTCAGTGCCCTGAATTCCAATTAGGATATGTTGGAATGTTGTTTTAA